TGACTTACCACTATGTGTCAGTAGCTGTTTGATAACGTTGAGCAAACTGAAATATCTATCCCAGAAGCAGGTATTTAACTCTCACTCAGTTGTTGGGACTGCACTGTAATTTGTTTTCGTGTATGCGCTTACCTGTTTTTTGTGTTAAAGAGTCTAGAATTTGCATAGTGCTGCCTGTGTCAGGCCTCTGTAACTGTAATCCGTGTTCATGGGATATCTCCTCTATAAATGATTTGATATCTCTGCTTTGAGTCCTTGCATATGGACAGTACATTGTCTTTACAGTTTCAATGGCTCTTAATCCTTTTTGAGTTTTGGAGCACTGAAATGAATTGACTGTTTGAATATATTTAGCTTAATGAGAGAGATGGCAACTTCTTGATGTGCTTCTTAACTAACAAAGGAGCCTCCTGTATTCCAAGTCATCTCATTTAAAGGACCAGCAGAAATCAAACAGGAAAAGCTAAAGATATTAATCTCAGTCCTTGATTTACCTGAATTGGGCAGGGAGGGGAAAAAAGGATTATAATCCATCTTTAGATGGATTCTTCCTTTCTTAAGAAAACTCGCATTCCCTCTGCATTAGAAAGGAGAGTGTCCGGGCTGCAGAGCTTTTTTTTTTTTTTTTCCTTCATTTTTTTTCCTCCACAACTGTGGTTATGATTAAAAATATGCTTATATGCTATACAAATGTGGTATAGTCTTATAGTGTTCAGAATAAAGATTCAGTTTATGCTATGCAATTAAAGAAAAATCAAAACCGCAGATTTTCTGTAAGGTTGGTTCTGTTCACATTTTTACATTGGTAAAATATTTACTGTGCCTTTATGTATCTATCTGGTTTTAGAAAGCAAGAGATTCAGTTAGGAGAACACTGGAAACTTTTCTTTCAAGTCGTTAAAGTCCACCTTTCAAAAATGTCAAAATGTACCTCTGTCACCCGTATAATGGGGTTTTTATTTCTTTCCCCGCCTCTCTTCTCTTTCTCTGTAAGCACTATTTCAGAACTGAGGAATTGGTTCAAGGTAAGTAACTGAAATGATATCTCTGAAAATATGTTATCAATCAGTTTTGCATGTTGGGTTTTCTACGTTTCTGAAAACAATGCTGAAATATGAAGCACTGTGACTTGTGGCTGAACCTTTGCTTCTGCTCAGTGGATGTTTTCTTTCTGTGTCCTAACAGCTTACCTGCTAACACAATGTCCTTTCATACATAAAATTCTCCCCATGTATTCTTTGTTCTATGTTCCAAGTCGCACAGATTATATACTACCTTTAATTGCTGTTCTTTTCGGCATCTGTGTAATTTGGCCAGCAGTGCTAGTGCCTTCTATAGAAGAGGCACAGAAAAGTTACTTGTCACTGGCTTACTGGAATTTGGCTTTGTTAATATAGGAATTGACAAATAACTGCCACAGCCTGCCTCATTAGGTCACAGTGTTAAGTTATCTGGGGGAACCCTAACGTTGCTGGACTTTCTGGGTGCCGTGACTGCAGTGTAGACTTGCCCCTAAATTGTATTTGTAATTGTTTTTTTGGTTGTGCGGAGCCTTGCATAGAATCTTCTTAAAAATGAATGGTGTTGAGCATTAGCAATTCACCTTGCAGTCAGCTAAGGCCTCCGATATTTTCCAGTATTAGGCAATTGTTTTAGTCAGGAGAACTTCTAGGTTGTTGTTAGTACTTGGTTAAAACTAGCCAAAAGATTTTATGTTCTGAGCGATTTATTTTCCTGTCCCTTGTGACATGTTTGGCTCTGGCCAGTATGTTCTGTTTGCATCCTGTTCTATTATTAGTAATGTTGATTATCCTTCCCCCCACTTAGGTTTCAAAATAGAATGACATTTCTTTTTACTGGTACGTGCTACTTTCACACATGGGCTCTGTTTCACCAGTGATCAAGAACAGATTGGATTAGTCACATGTCTTTGAGGTCTAGTTTAATCTGACTGCTGCTGGGCTAATTGGAGTGGGCTAGTGGATATGTTCCTTTCTTTTCTTTAAGAAATACAAAAGTTTTAAATTGGACCTTGTCACCTCTACTAAAAGTTGTTAATTCTGGGCCAAACTCATCCCTGCGTCTTTAACCAACAGTGTATGGTTTTAATGTGTTCTGCTCAGTCTTATACTGAGCTCGTTACTGAGGTATCTGAGTGCCTAAGGCTAAACAGGAAGTAGTTTTATTTTCTGCAATTTGTGTACTTTTATTTTTCCATTTTCTCCTCAAACAATTAAAGGAATATGCTGCTGTTTGGCATGTGCTTGTCTGAGAAATAAAATCATAGGAGAGTTTTTAAAAGCAGAAAGATATAACAACACCCTTATTCACAGAGAGGGAAGGCGGTGCCCAGCTTACTGTGAACATCAGAGGTGACACTATATTCCCTCCTGGGAAAGGAAACAAGTATGTTAAATTATTTTTGAACACAGAAAATGTGATTTCTTTTCAGAATCAATTTACAGAGGCAAGTAAGTTGCTAAAGCACATGCCTTTTGGCTCCTTCCTTTTTTTCAGGCTTGTATCTCACAGTGTACCAGTGTGGGTAAGCCTGGGGGATTTTGACTGAAGAGAAGCGATGTTAAGGTACTATGTGTGCCAAGAGTATCGTTCTACTCCCCCTCTATGGAGAAGAGGCAAAAGAGGAGAATGCTTGGCTCAGAGCCTCTGATGGTTTTGAATTTAGTGAGGTTCTTGGAGAAGCCTTTCCTCTGCAAGATGCCTCTTGTTTTGAGTGCCTCAGTTAGGGACCTGTTGGATATAGTGCTAATTCCAGGAGTGCCAATGGCCAGAGGAAGTCTCTAGTCAGAGCTTCCAGCAACAGCAGGGCAATCAGCCAGGTTCTGTGTTGACACAAGGTTTTTTCCCATCTTTCTGCAGACTATGTCCCATATTTGCCAAACTCTAAACAGCGTTAATAAATGTCAAGCACATTTTCTGCAGCTGCTTGAGAAAGCTGTGTAGAGTGGCTATTTATCACTCTCACTCAGTGTGACCCAATCAGACCCACGTTACCTGTACAGCAAATTGGTCACAAGGGGATAATTCCGCACAGCTTCTTACAAAAGAAGTATTTAATCATTTATCACTTAACTTGGTCTTTATGGCTGTTTGCTATGCATCTCTTGATGACAGTAGGAAAATGTGGGGCTCCAGGAAGTACCAGGACTCTGAGAATATTTTGAGAGATGCTACTGTGGTGAGTGAGATGGCCTTAGACAGAGGATATTTTATAGCACTTCATTTGTTTTACGAGAACTTGGTCTTCAGTATTCAGCAGATATAAATATCCAGCTTAAATAATGAGTTTGGATAGGACTAGTGGTGACCTTGCCTCCAAAGTAGGAATTTTCAGTAAAGAGTAGATCAAGGAATTGGCAATGTGTGTTTTGAAAAAGTTCACACGAACATATGTCAACTGAAGTCATTTCGGAAATATGTGAACTTTTCCTTTTTACCGTTGTCATTAAGGCAACGAACTGCTGGGTGATTCTGTTTAGCATTCAGGCTGTGTAAGTGCTAATGCTCTGCCTAGGTACTCTGTGTAAGGATCATTTTTTATCATTAAAGCAACCTTAGCCTTAAGTTGATTAAGCTTCTTGTGTAGATTACTAGAATCTAGAGATGAAACTGGTTGTGTCCCTCCCCCCCAATTCTATCTCCCAGATTCATCTTTACAATTAAATGCTTCATTTAACGTTAGTCTTCTGTTCCGTGTTCGTTACTGAGATAACCACTTAACAAAGGGATTTAATCTCTCTCTTCCGGTAGATCTTCGGGTTTTTTTTTTTTTCATAAGGGAAGGTAAAGTCTTCATACTGCAAGTTTTAAACACATCACCACACTTGAAAGGTAAATTAATCTCCTGGATCAAAGATACGATCACATTGACCTAAATGAGGTGCAGCAGGGAAGAATCTGGCCCACAGGATGCTTTCTAAAAACACTGATCTTTTCATACAGCTTCTTTTAATTGGAATTTAAATTTCGTCATGGTTGATTACACAGTAGAAAATATATTTGCTGATTCTCTATGCTAACTTGTAACTGTATTCACCTTCCTTTCAAATTTTCAAACTGCACATATTGAAGCAATGTTATGCATTTGGTTTTTATGCCAACAAATATTAACAGTGTTAAAATGTGTAGGTTTTGACTGTTTAGGCAATCAGTTCCATGGAAAGACTGAGAGCATTAAATCCTGTACTTAGTCTCACCACTTCTGTAGACAAGACGACACTACTTCTTTAGCCTCTGTTTTTTGTCAATGCCATGCTGATGATCCAGTCAACAGATCAAGTTGTCTGAAGGCCGGTCCTACATGCACTTTTTGGAACTTATCCTCTGATGTTTCTTGCTGACTGTATATTTGCTGGCTTAACCTGTTGGTCAAGAACCATTTTTGTTTCTTACTGATACTAATTTAGTAACAGAAATAATATACATTCTTTGCTATATCTATGCAATTGCAGTGAAGTCAATGTCTAATGGCAGAATTTCATGGAGTGAGAAACCTATTCCCTTAAAAATGTATTTTAAACAGTCAAAACAGTGTAGGTTTATTTATCTATTTAATCCAGTCACTGGAGTAATTTTTCAAACATGTCTTGAGTCATTAGCAATGAAATACCCAGACAATTCCATGTAAAGAATAAATATTCAGGCAAGTTTTGTAGAGAGAAGTAATTTAAAACTCGCATTTCAGGACCCAGATCTTGAAAAAGTAGGCAAGTGTGTTAGCAGGCATACTTTTCCAGCAAGGTTTGTCTGGCTTTTCTTCCCCTTGACTATATCAGTTGCTTTAATGAACGATATAATTTCTCTCAACAAACAGTGTTATTGAGCAGTTTTATTGAGTTTTATTTTTTATTATTATTATATATGATAACTAAGGATATCGCTAAGAGCACCAAGTAAAGCAGAAATAAAAAGCCATTGTTAGGCAAGAAAAAAGAGGATGGCATCTTTGATAAAACTTTAATAGTTTTTAGAACTGCATTCTAATACAAGTGCCCAAGGACATAATTGGCGATATATTTAATAGCAAGTAAAGTCTCTTCACAGGTTGGCTTTATCTGAGATTCAGGGAGAAGAAAACCATATGCACCAGTATCTCTGAGCTCAAAAGTGAAAGAGTACTTGATGCCTTGATCGTAAGCCCAGTCGTCAGAGCCCCCTGCAGCAAGATCTGCAGATAAAGAAAGAAAATAAAGCTTAATTGGAAAAGTATAGCTATCACATAAATGTGATACACTTAAGAGTCAAGTCACATAGCGAGAAATACAGAAAGGACAGATAAAAAGGAATATTTAATGAATTGTTGATTTCTGCTACTCGTGGAAAGGCTTCTGTGATTTAGGCCGCTTGTGAACTCTATTCCAGCTGATGATGCATGCACGCAAATATAAACAAGATAAACTACTCCCTTGTGCCACTATTGTGGGGAGACCATGGGAGAAAAGCCTGGTACCAGAGAGAGAATGGAAAAATGGCATGCTTGCATGCGCTCATTCAGAAAGCGTTGGTAACAGAAGCAAACACTGTCTTGCTGGCTAGCTCTTTGACATTCATAGAGATCTGGAAGAACCATAGACCTGGGATATCAGCTCCATCTTTTTCTTCTGGGAGAACTGTCCACTCCCTTTCCAGCATTTTGATACAGTGAAAGTAGTCTCCTTTGCTAAGCAGAGATTCTGCAGAATTGCTAAGCATCACCAAAACATTTAGTGATGCTAAAAATCCAGTAAAAAATGGCATAAGCTGTTTTTTAAGGTTTTAAAAAATATATTTAAGGAAAGAGGAATGAGGTAGAGAGAGTGCTTAAGGAAATTAAGAAATCCTAAATATAGGAGAGATAAAAGTTCTAGAAAACTAGATTTGGGAACCTCAGCTCAGCAGCTACCATTGCAAAGGCTATAACATGACAGCTGAGTTCCAAGAACAGCACAAGAATTGACTTGTAATCAGTACATTGCTCAGATTATAGTGCAAAATCAAAGAAATAATTAGCTGTGTTGGTAGGGTAGCTGAAGCCAGTCTTTAGACTTCACATCGTGTTGTTGCTTTGACTTGGAGACTCTGGCAACGTAGAAAATCTCAGGTTGAACAGGCTCAAGATTTTTAAACTGTGTATATTTTAAGAGTTTAATCTTTGCTCATCCCTTTACCTTATAGGGGGTCACCCATTCCCTAGGCTCCCTAAGGCGTATATACCATCCCATATTTCAGAACTAAGAGATTGCATATATACCTCTGGGAGTGCTTCAGAAGAAAGAAGCCGACTGCTTAGCTAGAGTAACAACAGTCACTAGAAAATTGCATTTAGTAGCGTTTGTCAGTATATTTAGGCCAGTACTTACAGATTGTTTCAGCACCTGGGCCATATGTATATTTGGTATTATGCAAACTAGCCAGCTAATTCAGCTTTCCAGAAGCTTTATGGGTGAATTAAAGCAAATGCATTGTCGAATAAGTTGAAGAACCATATTTGAAAAGTTTTTAGTTTTAAACTGTTGTCCATCTCAGAATTATCTGGTTGTCAGTAGCTAACAATGCACAGCTTGTTCTGTTGCTGTGAAAACAGTTTGTCACTAAAGAGCATGATCTCCAACTTTTATTGGTGAGGTAGAATCTGGAAAGTTAAGGGGGAGGAATAACAGGAGTTTCTGCACTTAAGAAGCTTGTGCAAGACTAAGACTAAATAAGAAATCTATGAAAATAGTGATAACTTAATACATTAAACTGTGAATGCACAACAGGCTTTCTTTTCCTCCTATGCATGCAGCTATAAATTCAGAGCAGAGTCAGTTTAGTCAGCGAAGCTGAACATTGATACCAGTGGAAGCAGATTAAGGTCTTAGAAATATTAACAGCCAGAAAAGCATAAATTACCTTGGAACCATATGTAGTCTCATTAATTTCAACTCATTTCCTGTGCACGGAGGGACTCATTCTACTCCCACTGATTTCAGTGAGGGTTGGATCAGACCCACGAATAGTGCTATGAAGCTTTGTATGCTTGCATTAAGGAAAATTACAGACTTTTCTTTGGAACATGTGGCTTTTCCAGTTCTTCGTAATACAGCATGTTGGTAATAAAACATAAGAACTATTACTAACAGATGATAAATATGAATGGTTTTTGAAAACAGATGTTCAGTATAGGAATAAGCAATGGATTGTCATATCTTTCTTTACAGCTTACAGTTGAATGGCTTACTATTCCAGGAATTTCCTCAAGCCTCTTCTTTCACTGTAGGTGTGTGCTGGCTTACTTCCCGGTAGCTGAGATATTGTAAAATATTCCCTATTTGTCTTTAAGCTTGAAGTGTTCTAGCAAATTACTCAAAAAGGTATATTGGGCAATGCGTTTAGAAAATCTTAATTTAGTGATAATATTTTTTCAGCTTCTAAACAAACAGAAATATGTTTGCATTAACGCTGGCAGCCTGGTTTATCACAGGATTGCACGTGATTCCCCATTCCCAAATAATGCATGCATACAGGATTCCTGTTGGATTTTGAACAGCCCAGAATTCTGGGAGCTGGTTCTAGAAATTTGGGCACATTTTATCATATGAAGAGTATTTAAACAAGGCAGGCCAGAGTGTATTTGAAGCTCATCCTTACATCTATAAAACTGGCTGTAGCTGAATGCTGGGTTGTGTTTTTGGCCTCTCTATTTTCCAAATACGAGTGGTTGTAAGAAGAATGTTGGGTTACTCTGCATTTCACAGTCTTGGGCTCATAGCAATGAGGAGAGTGAGCTCTCTCCACCGTTTGGAAAAAAAAAAATCCTAACTAGCTGATTCTTTTTTAATCCATAATAGCTTTTAACACATCGTGAGGGAATTGTAGAGGTTGCAGACTAGTATCTGCTAGTGATGCCATGTTTTCCTCAGAGTCATCTTTTATCTGTTTATGTATATACTTAATCAGTTGCTGAGATTAAGAGTAAAATCTGCTCTCAATAGCAAATCCCCTTTTAAATGTACAAACCGCTGCTGCTTCTTTTCAAATATATGCGAAGTGGAAATTAAACTTAAAATACTATTATACCATGTCGGGACCTGCTGATAATTAGTATTTGTTCTCTGTTTAGTAAACTGCATCTTGGGGACAGCAGAACAGCAGAGTTGCTTTTAGGGGAAAATGGGGTATGCCAAAGGACAGCTTTAAATCATTTGTTACTTTTCTCTGCCAAATTTAGAAGAACAGATCCCAGAAAGTGCATGTCAGGAAATCTTTTTACCTGAGGGATTTTTATTATTGGCCAGGAAGTTGTAAAAAGAGATTTGTGGAGAGAACAGTTGAAATTTCCAGCTGCTAAGGGCCTGGAATCCAAATGAACAGCTTCCTCAAGCTCTCCAGGTTGGGGACTGAGATGGTATCTTAAATGACCCCCGCCAAAAAGTGAAAAGCGTGACTGTTTATGTCTTCATTATGAAATAGGCCTGAGTTTTGAGATCAGATTTCTTCTTTTATTGTAGACTCTCTCCCAAATACTTTCTGAATATATTTATAGTCCAAAACCTACAGGCCAAAACAAAATTCAACTTTGTAGGAACTAAAGTCACTGTTCCTCACAATATAAAACAGCAGGATTTTTAAAAAAAAAAATAGCCCAAAGCTATCCTTAAAGAAGAAATTACATGGAGACTTATGTAGAGGTACATAAATAATGCTCAACATTTTTTTCCAAAAAGTGATATTTACCCTTTGAAAAATAGTTTGAACTCTTATGCCTGTATATTATTTGGAATACAGCTGCAAGGAGGGTCATGTCTATCTTTTTGACCCATGAGGATATTCTTTGCTCTTGACTGATTTTCGAAATCTGTGTGCGTAACTGCCTTAGGTCTATAGTTTGGGAGTTTTTGACTGTCAAGAAATCCTTCTTTTGTGAGGAAAACTCTGCATAGAGTTATACTAGCAGAGAGCCAACTGGCATCCTGAAGTCCTAGAAGTAACTCCAAATTAGTACCTTGTAACTGGCAGCAGAAATGGCTTTTCAGCTTCTGACTTGCAGCTGAACTCACAGAGCTGGTAATTTCTGCAGAAGGTGTAGTATTCCCTGTGCTGATAATCCATTTGTGTTTACACGGCAATTACTAATATTTGGCTTAATCTTGTGTACATAGTGTGCTAGCCAGTGAAACAACAGTCACGTTCTCAGGTGCCATTATTTTACATAATTCGCACCCTTTAAGCATATATTTTCAGTTATTAGCTGTTAATAAAATATACATGTTACTGGCCTCTTCTTTCTCATCACATCTGGAGGTTTGAACTAGGAAGATAATTTATCCAGCTAAGCATCTTCTGACTGTTAAGAGAGAGTTTTTGGGAGCAGCTTCCTCATTGTTCTTGTGGCATCAGCCTAGATTTGTCTCAGCAAATTGCAGCTGTTTAGAAACACTCCAGGGACCTTGATTATGCATCTGCCCCGTGCAGGCAACTCCCTTTGCCATGATACTCTGACAGGCATCGGGGGAAGCCTGGTCACTCACTGGCTGGACCTGTCATGCTCTTCCTCTCTTCTCTCTCTGGATTGCAAACTAATTTGCCTGAGGCTGAAAACTGTATTTACCTTCCTTCACCTTTAGTGAAGCTAAATTTCTGAGGCTCCTTGTGTTGCCAGTGAAGACAGACTCCTCTCAAAAAAGGCCATGACTGATGTGTAATTTAGTTTCCTATTCTATTGTTGCTCATAGTTAAGTATGTCTCCCAAGAGTCTAGAGAATCCAGCCAACAGGATAACTGCTTCTAAACAGCAATACTGCTTTTTTGCAAGCCTCTTTCTCTGCGACAGTCTCACAGACTGTTTAAGAAGTGGATCCCTGATGAGAGGGTGTTAAGGTGAATGTGCCTTGCAACTACTTGAGCTTGTCTTTGAGCCAGGACTAAGCTCATATTTGAACTTCGTCTGGAAGAAGCTACTACTAAAAACATCCCTTTCACCACTGTAAGACTGCCAATACGGAGCAATACTCTTGTGGGGCATCTGTTGCAGCAAACTCAATGGAGGAGTTATGAAGCGACTTCTAAATACCGTCTTTCTGTCTGCTTCAATTTGTTGTGCTTCCCAGCTGACTTTACCAGTATTTACTTGTAGCAAGTAATACAATCAGGAAGGAGTTGAAAACAGCACGGATACAACCATAACTCCGCATTGGCTTGTCTGAGTCTCTTAGATGATAGAATTTTTGCTGTTCAAAAGTTCCTTACTGTAGGTACTCACATCTTCAACATTTTAAAGAATAAAATCAAGAACAAAAGGACTTTGCTCCTAGGTATTGGGTTAAATAATCAGACTAGTAGTCAGTTGTGCAATATGTCTGAAATTTGCTCTCCCTGCAGGCTGCGCAGGCTCTGGGCATGTCTCTGCTTTATCTCATGTCCTGTTTTAAAGGCTGAAGAGGAAATGAAATGATAGACCAACCCAGTACGGAAGGTGAGTTTTAGTGATCTTAAATAGTAACCAGTGTGGGCAGTATGCCTTCAGGGAATACAGACTGAAATCCTGTATCTAGAAAATTATTTTGGGTTGTGAATTAATAATATTCTGTAACTTGTCAAACAGTCATAATACAAATATGCTAATCTAACAATGAGAATGAAGTGGCTGCAGGAACATATTTGGCACTGAGTTTATTGTTTAACTGAGAGAATGAATTGAACCTGGAAAGGAGGGAACAGCATGATGGACTTTCCTCTATCAAATCATAGTTCAGAGCCAATTACAATACAAACAAGAACTGAGAAAACTAGATTTATTTTGGCAGAAAATTAGGAAAACATAGGGTGACCTCACAGGAAGCTAAGGCCAAAATATTACCTAATTAAAAATATGGGCTTCACTGTTTATGAAAAGTGTTATTAAATACAAGAGACTCTATTCCAAGAGGAGGAAAATGTGAATAGTAAAATAAAGGTGAAAAGAATTTTCCTGGGGCGTGTAGAGATACTGGTCTTGCCAAGAATGTTTGTTTGTGAAGAGCTTATGCTTCTGTTCTCTGTAGGAGATGGATTCAAGTATGTATTCTCTGTGCAGGGTAACACTCGAGGGTATAGTGTAAAAAAAAAAAAAAAAAAAAATTAATAAGGTTATGAAGCAGGCAAAATGTAATTTTTTTTTTTTTAGTGGATCACATATTTCTTTCAGGGAGTCATCACAGGCCTATTGTGTAACTTCTGAGAAATTCCTGACCTAGATTTTTCTGTCTTGGGTGTTTTTATTGTTGTTCAAGCATTATTTGGATAACAGTGAAAGTCTGTGTACAAAATCCCAGGAGAGAAAAAGAAAATCCCTGTATACAGGGAGAAAAGTTTTGGGAAAATTCTTGTGTGCTGCAGGGTGGAGATTCTCAAAGCTGCTCTTGTATCTGAGGAGAAGGAAGGGACATGCATGACTTCTGCCATCTCTTTCAAACCTCAGCCCTGGAGGTGGGCTGAGGGATAGCTCTAATCCTCCACCCAAAGTAAATGCTGATAACTTTGAGGTTGTTCTAGTCTGCTATAGCAATGGATACCTATAGGATCTCTGGGATTCCTAAAGTACCCTGTTCTACCTGAGAAACCAGAAAGAGAAACAATTTTATGCCTTCTGGTGATTTTTTTTTTGAGGCTATTTGGAGAAAGAGTCTTTTTGGAGCAGTTCATTGGGCTTGTAGGCAAGGAAGGTGCAAGCCTTCTTTAGATTCCTTCTTCCCCCAAACTTAATGTTTTCCATCTCAATTTTTGCGCCCTTCTGTGTCTCAGACACTGGAATGTAACATTAGCCCTATGGTATTAAGCTACCTTTAATTAAATACAGTGGAATAATATGTTGTTAATGATAAGCAGACATGTGAAGTTTTGTTTAACCAGATGTCCAATTGCTCACTGAAAGAGATAGTAAGTGGCAACCATATTTCCTTTAATTTATTAGATCTGTCAGAGTGAAAATAACATCTAAGATAACGGCACTATAAATTTGCTTCTTCATTTAGAGAATGATTTATGATCCTTTTATTTGACAAAACAATTTCTCTAGTGCTTGAGGTTCTAATTCTCCAGCATTTCTCTAAATTCTAAATCTAGACAGAACTTTTAAGCATGAAGCACAGTGATTGGCATACAATATAATGCCTCTTGTTGCAGCTGTCTCATTTCAAATACTCACTGAAAATCACTGAAAATCTTAAATTTCTTTAGTCACAGCTCAAATGAATTTGTTTTAGTTATTTGAAGTGATCTGAAAAGCTACACTTTGGGACCTGACCCAGAGCCCATTGAAGTCAGTCTTTTTATTTAATTCACTGGGGCTTGGATTGAGCTCTTTTTTTAATTATCCCAACTACAGGCAATATTGATTGGATGATACTGTGATCTCGCTCTCCAAAAGAAGAATTTTTGGCAAGAATTCTTCCCTTGTTAAAATCAGGTACCGCAGAAGATGAGCATCTCTGGGATCCTGCTGTCTTTTTGTTGAGATCACCAGTAGAGGGAATGTTTAGAGAGAATGTTTTCCTTTAATTAGGACAGGAGTATCACTCATCAGGTCACCTTTCAGTAGTGGTGAGATCTTTGATTGCTTTGTAGTAGAAAATAATGGAACTCCCTCTTGGATCATTGTACCCAATTTAAAATACAGAATAACGTGACAGTGAAAAGACTAACTTACATGAAGTGAAATCAAATGGCTGAAGAGTCGTGTATAGCTTGCATTCTTGAGCTATTAATTTTTTTTATCCTGAAGAGTAATGGGATACTTATTCTCCTTGCCAAAAAAGGAGAGCTTGTTACTGGTTAAAATTATAGAACATTAATATGGATGATTCTTTAAATTTTATTATATTTTGGAACGGAAAAGTGCTAATGGAAAATTTTAATTAAAAAAATTGAAAACCTATGAAAGCACATTTACTGTATTCTTTTAATATAAAAACTATCAATATAAACTTTTTTCCATTTAATACTGTGAAAGACATGCTGTACTTTTAGTTACGTTTCATCGCATATGCTCTTGATTCAGAAAACTGGGCAAAATGTCATGCTGATTTCCAACGCAGGGGAACTTTGTGATCTTGACAATGAAGCTGCTCAAGGGTTGTGTTATTTATTACTTTAGACTGAACTGCAGTTGTGTGAAATGTGAAGCTTTTTTAAACACTGAAGGCAAGAAATTACTACAGTTCCCTGAAATAATTACAGTTAAAACTTTCTGGAACATAAATTAAGAAAACAAAATCTTAATTCCATTCTCTCTTTCAAGATGCAAAAAAATCTAACAAGAAACTTCACTGTTGGCCCCACTTTGCATTTGTTCTTCAGAATTATGACATTTTTTGGGAGCACTCGTAAATCTGTCAAGGTTTCACAGCACACTTAATGTTGCTGCCTTGGACTTCTGGCAGCATCCAGGAAAGAGAGAGAATCAAGATTTGTTTGTTTTGTTTTGCTATGTGGTTTTCCCTGCCAACAGCTTCTAATTGCTAGTATGCCAGAGAACTGAAGTCATTTTATTATTTATGATTGTTGATTTTTGGCCTTATGAAATGTTTACAACTTTTACACACAACGCATTCAATAATACTTAACCTCTGTTTTTAAGGATTAAAAAAAAAGTCGTATACCATGCTGCCTTTATCTTACTTAAATGGCATTAGAACATTTAAACATTAGAACTGTCATTTAAAACACCAGATTCATGCTCCCCTCTTCCAAAAATAAAAAAAAAAAGAGATATTGAAGTGTAGGCCTGTTTAGAAAGGTCTCAGAACTGAAGCTTCTTCCACCTGTTGTGTATCTCTAGCTGGTTCCATTTTACTTTTGACAAAAGCTGCCTCATTGACCTCAACTTGTATCATCCTGTTCCGTAGGATTTTCACCATTTTACTTCACTGAGAACTAAGGCTCAAGAGGAAGTGTTAGACAGAGATTCCTATCTGTTGTTGATAATACTAGTTCAGTCACTCCTATATCGTTGTTACTTATCTGTCAAGCTGTGATCTTGACTTACAGACCATAGCGTTTCTGTGTATGGTATTGGAGGCCCGTACACAGCAACCTCTTGAGTTGGGAAGGAGCAGTGCAGTATAGCAGTGGATTTCTGCGTAGCATAACTAGAAGACAGACCTGTCCTTAGGGCAAATTCATTCTATGTGTGGAAATTAAAAAAGGCTCTTGAGTTTATCCGGTGCTTGAACTATCTTGAAGCTGTAATGGATTCTCTTGTACTTGCTGTGAAAGACTAAAGTAATTCCAGTTACTGGCAATAGAGATTTTTTTCCAGATTTGCAAGAAACTGCCTCAGGTTAAACTGACCTAAATAGCACGTGATGATTTTTACTTGTTCTTTTCATTATTTCAAAATGACAAAGAGCTTCTACTCACCAGTTCCTCATAATTCACTGGGTGTTTGTAAGTATACGAATAAGGAAACAGAAGCATCTGGGAATAGGAGTGAATAGTGATGTATGCCTTGATGGTAGAAAGGTGGTTACGAATGAAATCAGCCAAAGCCTTGGTCTCCTTTTCAGACTCAGGTGCACGGCCACAGTAAGTGGAATCGCAAGGTCTATTTGAGGCCCCAGCAGCTGGAAAGAAGGGTAAATTTAATCAATGTTTAATGAAAAAGGAATTGGTAGGTGGGATGGTGGTAATGTGAAATCACTTTCATTGATAAGCCTTGGAAATCCTACTGGCACACATGCCATTTCTGGGGAGAGAATATTTTATTGCGAAGTTAAGACAGTGGGTAGTGTGATGTAGCATTCGGGAAATATTTCCTGTACAGCAGGCATACTTGGAAGGACATAACTAGTGATGTAAATCCTTGTATTATCCAAGTCATTTGGCATATGACTCACTTCAGTACTTGAACAATCCTTTCCTTGCATGTCCTCCCCGTTTCTAGGATGCTCCCAGGAACCAGCCAAGTGCAACCAGTCAAGAGAAACCCCTCTCCCACCTAGTGAAACCAATCAAAAAAAAAAACCTCTACTGTTCACAGAAGTAGCCATAGTAATGACCCTCATAACCAAAGTCTATTTTTTGCCCAAAATTGCCCTAAGAAATTGAACATAAGCTTCTCCACACCACTATATTGACGGTTTTCACTGGAGTTTGAGATGAACCATCATGCAGTGAAAATCCATAGGTAAATATCTTGACTGTTGTACCTCTGAATGGTAGTTTGCAGCCATTGTTAGGAGACACTTACTGCACCACCCAGCATCAAAATTCCTGTTGGGATCAGTACCAAGGCAGCTGCTGCCCGCGTTTTTAGAGCGTGTCTTTCTCCACATGCGGTTCTGAAATAGAATGGTTAAGTGCATATCAAGAGAAAGTTCTAACAGTTGACTTGGTCAGCAATACTCTTGAGAAATAAAAAAAGTACTTACATTTGTCCAAGTGTAAACGTAACCATCAATATTAAGAACAGGCAGGATGTAGAAGTCCAAGCTGTTGAGAAGTTTGGTCATGACACTGTCTTTTCCATAGGTCTCAACAGCCTAGTTGGAAAGAAAACGACAGAGCTGACACTGTCATAGAATCAAAACAAAATATCTCCTGTATGTTTTGAGCAGCCTGGGTCTGGATCAAGAAGTAAGTAATATGGTGGTGCAAAGAGATCCTGGTCACTCCACCATGTGAGATGGAAGCCTTGTGATATTACATATACCCAGAGGAATAACAAATCCTAGATTTACATGGATTCAAACCATGCTGCTGCTAGAAAACCATCTCATTCTGGTAGATAAATTACCTGGTAAAGTAGTGTTGATTTTGAACAGAACAATAAATCACTGGAAAGAGATTTCTACCTATGAGCTTGTTTAGAGACAGCAAAGTACATATACTCTCTCTATATCCCGTCACCTTAAAGGTTTGGGTTTAATTTATGAGAAAAGAAAAATCATTGTTCCTATTTCTGATATCTGTTGTGCAGAGGAGTTTCTTCAGCAATCAAAACTGTAGGGAACACTTGCAAAGAACATCCTTACACACTTTTACACACTTTTCTAGACACATGCATTGCATAATATCCATAAGAATTCCTGCCATAAACCTGTATGTCCTGATTCTTTGTGGCCTGTCACTTCGTGCGCTTGTCCACAAATTTCTTTCAGGGCCGAGTGAGCATTCAATAGTTATAGAAATATGCTCTAAGAAGAACGTTGCACCCGTGTTTCCTTTACTCCTATACAGACGAAAAGGATAGAACAGGGTGCAATGTAATGGAGAAATGGTATCTATTCTCCTTTAGCTAACAAGTAGAAAAGTTGGGTGTAGAATCTGCAGAAGTGGTTTTTGATCACTAGAACTGATGCTTCTTCCTGTTTGCATATTCCTCTAGTTTTTGCCTTTCATGTCTAGAAGACACCTCAGATGAACTTCACATGAATCTCAGAGGACAGTGCTTTTAAAGCACTTCTGCCTAGCTGCACTTGGAACCGCTGTGCAAAGCCACCACTGGTGTCAGGTACATCCATGAATTAAGCAGTCAGACAGAGAAAATGACAGCTGTAGTGACGTGAATTGCTAAGAGAAAAATGATAACACATACTGTCTGTAGCCTTATTGGGAGATAATGAGATCACATTCCCATTGACTCCACTGAGATGTCATTTTCAATTTCCACTGCCCCTTGCAGAAAACCGCATGGCTGTCTCAGAAGACAGAGCTTACGCTTGCCACCAATTTTTGTGCCAGCGTGGCTCCCTGAAGTACTTTGGCTTTCCTTTACTCAGGTTTTACATACCAGCTGCTGCTTCTGTTTTTTAAAAAACTTTAAGCAGGAATTCTTACAATTTTAGACTCAGACAGTGAGCTGTTCTGTGCAGGTGATTGATTCCCGCTGCCAAGTTGAGGGGGAATACACCTCTTCTCCTGTAGAGACAACTCTGCAGCATTTAATAACTCCCAACTGCTTAGTAGTGGTGGCGAGGAGCAGGAAAAGAGAAAGTAAGCAAAACTGTTTCATTCAAGGGCTGAAGTGTCCCAGCCTGAAGTGAAGCTAATTTCACCACGTGTGAGTCTTTTTAGAATATATCATTTCACGCTTTAGAAACCATTCTGTCCGACCTAAAGTGACAGCCCGAAGGGATGTGTATGGACAGTTATTTCCTGAGTGGAATGCAGAGAGATGCAGCTGTAGTCTTTCTCCTCTCTTGGGTAATGTTTCCTTAGTGCACTCTGACTTTGCTTCACTGACAGTAGGTTTCCATCCTCTCAGTTGCCTCACTGAGCAAGTCTGACTGCCGTGAATACAGGATCTGAAGCTGTGGGAAGAGAGCCTTTCTGGCACACAATCTATTGCCTTCTGAAGTTTCCCTCAGCTGCCTTATTCCTTACTCCTTATGATTATGTAAAGAGTATGACTTGCTTTATAATGTTGCTAGATCTGTTTGCTTGTCACCACCTTTATCTGACTACAGGTGCAAAGAGGAATCTGTACATTGTGTAAGTAACCCTTTTAGTTGTCAGTACCTCTTACACAGGCTGAAGAAGTCTTAAACTTTTCAGATTAAATGGCCAGCCATTAAGACGTGTTTTAAATCGTTGTGCCCCAACCATCTGAGGTGAGAGAAGGGACGTGCAGGCATGTATTTAGAGGAAAAAAGTCAGTCTGCAGGTGCTTCAGCCCTTGACCCTCACTTAAGGTTCTCTTAGAAATAGTTGCATTTTGTAAAATATTTTTTCATCATTAAGCTTACTGACTTCTTTCACAAACCGCTGGCAGAAAGCAGGCGAGATCCACTCTCTCGCATGGAAACCACAATCCATAAAGATGGCCTTCTTATTCATCCCACTTTTTCCCACCTATGGAAAAAAAAAGCAACAACAAAAAAAGGTCCTGAACAAAATAATTTGTCGGCAGAACGAGTCAGTCAGATTGTTGACCTAAAAAGTGAAACTTAAGGTAAGGATGGCATTTGTTGATTAAATGGAAATCTGTGGACTGCTCTCAGCTGTAGCTGACCCTGATGTTTCAGCTAAAACCACACAATCCTAATAATTTTGGTTTTATTAATGCATTTTGATTATTTGGTCACAGATTATTCTGCACTGTTGATATGTTTCCAGGAGTGGCTCTAATTATTGATCTCATTTTGTAGGATGCTAGATTATAGTAAATGCTTATGCAGTTTTGGGCAAGTAATCTTTATCCTTTCATCTTTATTTAATTCCTGGTATCTTATTTATTCACAAGAGTTATGCCAAAAATTATCTGGTGAAGATACAAACAAGTTTGTTGCCAATTGCTAGAAAGTCTGATATTTATAGATCCTTTTAGAGTAAATGGGTTTACAAGTAACATATGGAGAGAACATAAAGGTAGATGATGATTCATGTTGCTCACAGGAGTGTGGTCAAATTTATGTGTCTGAACTTCCACATAATTCATTATGCCTTTCTTTTTTAATTTATATCTTAAATCAGAAGGTGAGAAGTAGTGCACAAAATATATTTGATTTCCTGCAAAATTTATATTAGTATGTTAGCGTTAGTGATGATTTAATAGACATTGTAATCTTATGGAGGTTAATAGGAGAAAACAGTCTGGCACAAAGAAATCAAAGCACTTACTTTGAGAAGGTACATTTGCCGTCCTTCATATGTTTCCCCAATTACACTGCGAGAGACAAGTTCTGGGTTCTGAGCAGCAATATCAGCAGTCCAAGCAGCAATCTGTTTATAATAAGGAAGTTAAATTTATTGATGTCTCTGTCCTAAGGTTCAGAATAATTAATTCACAGACTTCAAGCCAGAAGGTCCTTCTGAGCATCTGACCTGACCTAATATTTAATACAGTTTATAGACCTCCAAGAGTTAATTCCTGCTTGTGCTAAAGCTATATTATTTGAAATATATCCAATCTTAATTAATTTTTTTCAGTGATAGTGGTTCATTACAGACCTCATCAAGCTATTCCAGTGACTGATTGCCTGATTTTCCTAATATGAATTTGTCTAAATCCAACTTCTAGCCAGTATGGTTGTTGGATTAAAAAAGCCTTCCAGTATTGAATGTTGATCCTGTTTAGTTCTTATAGATGATGACCTTGTCAGCCCTTAAAGAAGACTGCTTTCCTTGTTAAGCTAAGTAGATTGAGCTCCTTAAATCTTCTACATACTGTCATGTTTTTCAGTTTCATGGCTCCTCTTCATCCTTGAATTGTTGACAGAAGCACTGGAAAGAAATTTGTAGGAACAGCCACCAATGCCAAATGCAGAAAAGAGAAAAATCTCCTTCAATCTATTCACTATTTCCCTGTTACTATGTTAAGGGAAGTATAAGCAGCATTTGCTATCTTGATATTGGAACAAATTCCCTTTGCATCATGTGCCTTCAGAAGCTCACAAAAATGTGGTCACATTCACACAAAAAAGCATTTCCTGCCCAAAGATCTGTGATCTAAGAAAAAGGCAAGAGACAGCAGACGGATACAGATAGACTGGCAAGGGAATACTAGAAATAGTGGTTGACATTATTGGTGTTAGTGGTTTTTAGCACACCAATAACCTAAGCAGAGTCAAAGGAGCTTTTGTTCTTATTTTTAAATAGCCTTGAAAAGGAGAGGTTTTTTTTTCTTTTCTTAGGAGAGTTCTGGAGGAGGAGAATTGATTAGTTCTTGTAGGCCTTCTATAAATACCACCTAGAGAGGAAATACAAATGTTCCTGTTTGAAAATGTAACAGGTGGTCAGTAGAGCAATGACTAGCACAAAAATGGAAGATTTTTGCAAGGAAAGACATGAAAGGGAGATTCTCATACTTCTAAGTACAAGAACTGTCATGCAACGGATGAGGGGAAGCCACTGCAAAGATGTGCAGTGGGGTGACATTGTCAAGGTTACACATTGGGAAAAATCAGCGTGACTGTGGAAAAAAGAATAGGGGAGAGCTTGTGGTGGATGAAGAAGAGTTAGGATTGGGGCAGGGAATAAAATCAAGTTGTGAAAAAGCTGTTTAGCAGAGGACATATAGGAAAAAGAGGGAAAAGGAGAGAGCAAATTGGTAACCAAGCACATCAGCCTGGTCACTGAATTTCTACCAGAGATTCTCTGCAGTGCTGTGAGCAGAAGAAGAGGAAATTGGTGTAGGGGGGATGGGTTGTCCAGATTGTCCCTGTAAAGAGCCATAAAACTAATGGAGGAGAAAGAAGAGTTTGGAGAAGGAGTTACATTAATGGCTGGAACAGAAGAGGAAGAGGAAAGAAGGATGGAAGCATATCCGAAGCCATCTTGGCTACAGAGGATAAAGTACTGAGTCAAAAACTTGTAGACCTTACCGTTTCCCACTTGTTGTACTTCTCATAGCTGTGACCAGCAGTACGAACTTTGCTGTCAAACTGAGCGTCCACCACAGTCTGCAGGTTGTCAATCAGAACTCTACAATAAGGCATCATAAAAATTGTGAAGAGAAACATAGAATTTGCTAGCAGGAGACCAAGCACCAGGAAGATATTTCAGGGTCTGCCCTGAATTAAGGTCACAAGGATCGTGAAGTGAAATGTGGGGGATTTGGCTTATGCATTTGAAAATAGTATATATTAGGTTCAAGTTTCAACCTACTTCCTGCTTCATCCTTGCTGCCAGAATGATGAGGGAGCAATAGATTCCTCTTAACTAGCATCTGCCTACTTACTCTGATACTAACAGACCTTCAGGATGGTGACGATTTGGTTTAGGAAGAATGGCAATGCCAAAATACAGTGTGTGTAGAAAAAGAGGTCTGTATACGAGATCAGCTCTGTTTTTCCTCACGATGACCTCGTGTGGCCAGATCTTCTCTGCCTACAAGAGGAAAAGAGCCCTCTCTTGAACAGATGGCCCTGAAGGACAATTGTATTGCAGCAACATAACATCCTTGGGGAGCAACACACAGATGTTTGCCTGGTGCAACTTCTCCGTCAAGACACACTTTCAGACTTTAGGAGTGGTTTGATAGCTCTTTTGCAGATGGGGTGATCCATCCTCCAAGCTGCTCCACAGCATATGATATCAGCTATTAAAGTAGCAAAGCACCATGGCAAGATAACCCCAGCATCCTGTATGCCGTTGTCTGAAAATCTCCCATGAACCTTTCCCAGAGACTGAAACAAAAGACACAGCTCATCATCAGGCATGTTCTTGAGGCCATTTTACTTATATTTTAACCTTGGCTATAAAAAAAAAAAAAAGAATTTCTCTTGTTTTTCCAGTGCTTGTCTTAACATTCCTGCAGAAGTTACTCGTAATTTCAGGACATGTCCTTGATCACTTGTGATTTGGAGCAGGAGGCCAATCTGTGAGGCACTACCAGCCTTCAGAACAAACAGTGCAAATGGCTACATTGACATGATGTCGTGGCACTGTAGCTGCACTTCAAAAGAATTGTAACTGCTTGGGCTGTCACAAGGACGTTCCTCTGAAGTTTGTCAGGGACGCCTTATAGACATTATGGCCTTTGCAAATGAAAGATTTGTGCATGAACCTGAGGGAGTCTGTGAATATTATAGGAAATATTAGCACATGTAGAGTAACTCCTCCTTTGCCAAAGAGGAAGTTCCACTGAAATTGGACTCCTGCACAGTATGTGGGCTTAGGAAGCACTGAAAACAATTTCTTTTAGAATGTTTCTCGACTTCCTCCCCATAGTGGTATCCAAATCAGACACATTTAACACTGTGTTCAGGCCAGTAATTTTAGGGATGGATTATCCTTAGGTTTAGAAGATCATAAAAGCTATGTTTGATGAGAACTGCGTGATGTAGGACAAAGGAGTTTGATCTAATGGCCACAACATGGGGCTGAGAGCCAAAAGCTCTCCCCTCTGTCCGTCAGATGAAGTCGTGAGAATCTGACCAAGTAACGCTGACTTTCAGTATCTGCGTACGGTGATGTTGAAAGAATATCCATTACACATTGAAGGAGTCTGCTAATCAGGCTGGGCCAAGCCAATTTGTAATGCTCGGATGAGGTTAAAAAAGCGATGAAGACAGCCAGCGCTCCTTCCCCCACACTGGCCCAAAGTCAATGCCTCATCCTTGGTTAATGGTTGCACAGTCACTGGAAGATATGAAGTGTGAACTGTTGCCTGGTCCTCCTCTCTTCTCCTTACCCTCCCGTCAGTGCTGCTCACTGCAGTGCTTCTGTTCTCAGGCACGTGTAATGGCAGTGGCAGTGTGGTCCAGTCCCTCCACTTGTGCTGTGGTTGTATTCAGTAATAGAAACCCAGGGCTTTTTTACTTCTGGATACTACACTTAAGAAATATTTAAGCCAATTAAAAGCGCTCTCTTTGGAGAAAATCCTGCCACAGATCTGCTATGTGAATTATCTAAACCCAAGGCTGTCCTGGGAATCTGATCTCACCACTCCCTAGGCCCTTCACCTGAGAGCTGGCTTCTCTTTGTCACCAGTTTATTTTGTCCCTCCAGCTATTGTTCTCCAGCTTAGAGAACTCGGTGGGGAGAGCCTCATGCTGGCCCTTGAGACTCGTGATTTTCTAGCTTCGGTTCCCTGATGTTACCATGCAAACCATTCTGGTGCTCTTTCTAGTCCTCTGCTGCGTTTTGTCTTCACTGGAAAATGTTTCTTGTCCCACTTTACCCCACCCCAGCATACTGCAGTGGGCTTTCACTTAGAGGAAATTCCTGGCAATATATCTTTGCTTCCTGTTTCCTCTCGCCATCAAGGTTTCACCTCACCCCCTGAAACCAGAGGAGCTATACTCCGTTTGAACTATCATAGGAAAGCTGACCCCAGGAGAGGCATCCACAGGAGGCAGGAAGTTTGTGACAGAAAGATGAGCTATCAACAATAAAAAGATTAAGCACATTTCCCCAGTATTTAATCTCCTTCTGTTTAAAATACAGCAGTGAGAACACACTTACCTATACTCCATTTTGTTTTGTGCCAAAAGATTTTCAACCTCAAAAGACTTGTCAGCTTCAACTCGGAAGTCAACCTGCATTTTTGGCTTTACCAGTGTGACAGAGTCTGGCTGCCAAAAGTCAACCTGAAAGGAGGCCAAATGAATATATATATATATATGTAAGTATATACATATCTGTGGCTGTGATTTTTTAGGCAGACATATGTGTGATGGTGATGTTGATTGTGATTAATGTACCAAATTTAATTCCCATCATCCTGGACTGGCCTGATCTTGCTTGCCAGAAGTATCAGCGTAAGTTTTCACTGGAAATAATTGATCAAGAAGATTTTGTTAGGCCCTGCAACCTACTTGGCACATTTCTGGAGATGGCAGTGACAGTTTCACAGAGGTCCCAATTCAAAGCATTGAAGCACATGCTTATGAACTTTGAACTAACTGAGGCATCAAGTGGGAGCAGCACACAATGACTTGAAGGTAAGATCCAAAAAGTTTGTAAGTCCACTCAAGGAATAATGTATAAATGCCAAGTATTAACTCGTTTTTTGGACTGTTTCAATTTGGAGTTTTTCGTTTACTTAATAAGGACTACACTGATCTTGCACAGTGCCAAAATCGGTGCTTGGGTTCCAGACTTGGGATACTCTCAGAAATAAAAGTCCACTTCCTTGATTTCATTGCAAGGGTTATGTGTATAAGGATGATAGATGTGGTATCTGAGTTCGTTGCAGGCCCAGTATAAGCGTGGGTAGAGCACTGCTTGTGCTGCACAGCTATTGAGATCCACCTCTGAGCAGCTGCTAGCAGGCTTAAGTAACAAGAATATATACGTATAAAGAGTATATGTTTTGCCTGAATCTGCAAAGGTGTACTTTGCATGTGTAGGTTGCTAATCTGAGTAAAGATATTTACATGTACTTTCTCCTTGGTACCTAAGCACTGAACATAAAATTATTACCTTAGGATTATAATAATATAGACAGGGAGCACAGTTATCTACATACACTATGATAATTGGTATTCCCAGTTTAAGCAACCAGAATTTTCTTTCCTGATAATTGAGATAATTAACCCTTTTCATTTTTTCACTACCTTCTTTTAATGCTTTTTTTTACATCTTGATCATAGTAAGTAGCATACCATCCTTAAATGGGATACTGCTTATAGGGTGGTTTCATCATAATCTGTCATCTCAGCTGTGATATACCGTTGGTTATCTTTTCATTTTACAATCAAAACAGGAAAAAAAAAAAAAAAAAGACAAGCATCAGCCTAAATCAAACTGCAGGTAGCTCTGAGTAAAAATATTCTGAAGTTCATGTGAAAGAGTCTTTTTGATGCAAAGATGACTGCAGTTTTTGAACGTTGTAGAGTCAGTGTTACCACTTCTTAATGAGCAGGTCTGCTCTGCGAAGCCTGCACATTTTTTTCTTTTACTATGGCATACCAAACAGCTACAGATTTTTGAATGACGTGCAAAAATCACAACTATCTTTTACAACCTCTTTCATTCTGTATACACACTTCATTGGAGGTTTTAGCATACAGGCATTAAACAGCACTGGATTCCCAACTCTGTAACGGAGGGACACTACATACATACTTTACATAAGTCAACTAGGAAAGACTGTTGCTTATACAAGTGCTTTTAGGACTCTGCACCAACTCTGAACACTGATGTTGGTATGAAGAAACTGTGCCTTCAGAGGATGGTGTTCAGGTCAGGGTGGACAAGTGACAGTACAGCTAGCATTTCCCACATATTTGCTGAAGTCGGCTTCTAATCCTCTGTGTTTAAAGTCTGTATTACAGGCTGAAAGTAAGGCTGATTTCCCAGCCTAATGTCTTCTCAGCCTTTCATCTCATGAACGTAAAGGAAAGTGAGGCTGGTGGGCATAGCTACAAACTATGTCTTTTCAAGTGAGATGACTGTTCCAGGATATATTACTAAGTCAGTCCTGACTGACTGCCCTGTATAACAGTGGTAGTACAGAGATCTTTTCTTTGTTTAAAAGAAAAAGAAAACAAACAATCCTTCAGTTGAATTCCTTTATAGTACACACTTAAAAGCAAGCATGGTGTATTAATTTTCTGAGTTAGGATAAGGAGGCAGCAACATGCCAATAACATATTTTTCCATAGAATGCTCTTCCAGCATGCTATACTAGCCTGTTGATAATAGTCCTCCACATCTGTACTTCGTTTAAAATACCATCCTTTCATCCTACAGATAATGGTGTCTTTTTCACCAACAGCTATTTTACAACATCAAAGCTTAAGAGAATATTGAAAACACATTTGCTGTCTTTATTGTTTTTTATCATGTCACTGTGTCATCATATATCTACATCAAGGCCATTAAGGAACATGCAGCTTGACTGGGGAGAAAGAATGCTTTAAAGGAAAGTCAGAGAGAAGAGAGACTAAAGGCTAGAGAAAAGTTCAGTTTGTTGGGAGCATGGAGTTTTAGATTATTTACATGAGAAAACTGTTTTGCCTATAACGGTAAAAGTGCTGATACTTGGAATGGCTATGTTTCACCTAATGCATTCTTGAAAGTACTCCACACTGAATGTATCATTTGGGATTAATTTCTTCAAGTAATAAAAACCGGTAGGCACTTTGACACGCAGACTGAGTTAGTTGCTCTTTCTAGGAATGTATTTGTTTGATTCTGGCTCTATCACCCTGTCCTGTTCTTTCTGGAGAAACACTCCAACTGACTTCAGTGGAATCAGGATTGGGGCTTTAATTCAGCAGCGTGACAGGTTTTTTTTTTGAGATAGGCATTAGTGAAACAAAAGGAGATATACTCCTTCCAAATGCAATGTAGCCCCTTCCCCAACCAAGTTCTTTACCTGCATGCTGCTGGCAAGGGCAGTGATGATTTCCACCTGCTCTTCATTCTGTGGAATCACGCGAAACACCTTCTGGCTGAAAGTGGAGAGAAAGACGGGATTTGAAACAGGTCGGTCAACTGAAAGGATTTTGTTCTTGAAAAGGAAGATTTATAAATATAAACTTGATGTCTGTTCTTACCCATCAAAAGCAAGATCCTGAAGCTGAGCAGAAACAGCTGCAGTTCCTACAAGAACCAAAAGCGCCCACATTTTCTTTTAAAAGAAATGCAGGACTTTCAGTTCTTCTAGGCCACTTTTATAATGTATTTTGTACTGCTCTTTATTGATTATACACCAGAAAAACCCACTGATCAACTGATGACCTTCTTTTATTTGCATGCTATTTATAATGTGTTTTTACTCCACACCTGTGAAAACAGTTGAAAGTCTCAAGGGTGGTTAAGGAATACTGGACTTGAACTGGATAAACTCTTAATATCAAAAAGTGAATTTAGTTTGTTCTTTTCTGTTGTTTGTGAATTTTGATTAACAATTTTAATGATTTATTTGGCAATCATTTATTTGCTGAATTACAAGCTTTACTTTATAATGCTTTATTGTTGCAGATATCTGTCAGGTGTTGTTGCTGTGTGACTGGTCCTCTTAATGACACAATGTTGTCACTGGTCCTGAATGGTCTAGGCCAAACTCTCACAAAGTAAGAGGAAATGCAGTTTGTATGTATGAATTATCACTTTTCTCCCAACAGAGAAGAAGGGCACTGAACTTGTTCTTTGCTCAGTCACTTCACTCAGACTCCTGAGTAAGCCAAATTTCTGTAGAACTGAGCGTGCAGAGATTTCTTGTCATAGTGGGGTTGTATATATAGTCCACATAAATCAGTACATGCACTGATTCTTGCATATTGTCCAATTTAATCACATAAGGCTCAGAGCTAAATGCCCTTTAAATTAAGCGCTACTTGGGACATTATATGCAGGCAAAGAAGATTAAATGAAACGTAGTCATGCACAAATATTTTCAGCTTGGCCTCTCATGTGCTTCAGCTATTTAAAAAACAGTAGTGTGTTTGCCTCACTGCACTTGCATCTGTTTACTTTTCGTTAACACGCTCTTGGCATTAAATGTAACATATAATATCAGCTGATGCTTTTTCATGAGGTGATCTGTATTTTTGACAGGGAGTTCCTAAATATATTAGTGTCTAGATATATAAAGAACAAAATTTATGAGCTCAGTTCTGTCCTCTGCTATGCCTGAGTGACCAGGCAGATTCCAGGGGTTCCGACACAGATATTCCTGAAAATATTCTTTGACCCTGCTGTCTGCTATTTTGCAAGAAATTTGCATATATGCATACCATATAATAAGTGAAAAATTATTAGAAAATTAAGTATATTCATCTAAGATTAAAAGATACAGCGACAGTTTCGAAGTGCAGAAAATGGAATTGTTGATGACTGTTTTAAGAACAAATGTGGTAGCAGAGATTTTCTGGAATCAACTCAGCAAAGCTACAGCCACCTTATATGCGGAACATCCTATAAATCTTTTTTTTTTTTTAATAAATGCACCGAAATGCAGGAGTTTATGCTTAACAGTATAACCTATGATGAATATACTCCTAAAAGAAGATTCCAGAATTGCACTGAGCCTATTTATTCAAAAGCTATGTTTGCCAAATCATAGGGTTTGAACTTACTTTACAATTAATGACCTAATTTGTAGCACTGCAGGCTCTTGCCCAGCAATAACCTTATTTAGAGTCAAGTCTCCTAAGAAGAACGACAGCAGGAGTTATGCTGACAGAATGCCAAAGCAATACTGCAAAGTCTTCAGAAGTTTTAATTTTAAGATGATGAGATCTATGATATTAGATAAAATGGTCTGGTCCTATGAACATTCTGAGACAATAATGTGGAGGTGATCAAGCCCAGAACTTGCAAAGAATAAATGATCAGAAGAAGTAATCAAACAAATTGCAGATGTCATCATTCCCTGTTGAGTACTGAGAAGTATCTCAGAAATAGAAGGCTGCCAGATTTCAATGCTCGAATTTACTTTTAAGAAATTCCTTGTGCCTTTTCATGCAGTTGGAGATTTTGTTTTCCTTGTTCCAAACAACCACTAACACAGCATTACTGCCATCAACTACTGAGCTGGCAAGTTTTACAGAATACTATAATTTCTGATGGCTGTCTTTGCTGTTTCCATCACAGACTAGGCCAGAAAAAACAATGATCTGGAATCTTACTAAAATGGTTCATTTTGCTTCCAGGATTGATGGTTATGTGTCAGATTAGCTCATAAACTAGGTCTAAATATTGTCTTGTTTTCCAGCTGTATTATATAAATGTTCAATATTTGTATGATAACAGGGCAGCATAAGGATAAACAAAATAGCAAATTAAATTTGGTTAAGCCGTCTGTTCCTTTTATTGTCCGAATACAAGCCAACAACACATCAGTTGGCCACGGCTGAGTAAACCTTGGCCTTTAGTACTTAATACTGAATGCAGAGACTAGTATTAGCTATCTCTTTTAAAAGATTCAGAATGAAGATTTAATTTTTTTAATCAAAAAAGAAAAAAGAAACAGCTGACTCCCAAAAGAAAAGTATGTAGTAATTTCCATCAGGGCATGTATTTTATCTAATACATAGTGGTGAGCACAACTGAAAAAAAGTGGCTATCAGCCATTGCAATTTTGTTGTGGTTTTCTCTTTTTTTGATCATCTAAAAATCAAGCCTTCTGTGATGTTGTCACTCACAAAGAGTATTCCCTGTGTTTAGTGACATGAGCTCTAAGAAACTTTTGATGCTAATAATTGTCTGTATTCTAGCTGAAATTCATTTTCCTAGTAATTTCTTATTTCAGTTTTAGGAATAGAAATACTGTGGTACTCCACTTTGAAAAAACTTACGAAAGCTAAGCACAGACTGATAAAAGGAAAAAATACATATCAATGTTAGCATTTCACAAGCATCCTTTATCTTATGAAGTCTTTCATCCCATTTGTTATCCAACTGAGTCCAACAGTCTCAGGGTAAATATTTTCTCTTTTTCTAGGAGCTCTCGGTAGATACAGATTTCCTGAATCAGTTTGTTGAACTATATTTAAAAAAACCTAGTATCTTTTAGTCACAAAATATTGTTAGTTCGTATAATCACTGACTGCCAAATTTATTATCTTCTTAATATTATATTTGATGTTTATTATTTTCCAAAAGATCAGTGAGAAACTCCTCAGTGCCCAAATCTTAACATGCCTTATGTACATGATGTAGCAAAGCCCTGGCATATGTCCTAGACCAGTGACATGTTTTTGAATTATGGGGACTCTCTTATCATCATTTATTTGTTAAAGTGATATGTGCACTTTGGCTAATCTCAGTTTTGAAGAGTGATACTATTGAATATATTCTGAAGACCTTTGAGACTACTTTAAAGATGTCAGGATCAGCAGAATCTGCTATCAAGCATGTGCTCCAAGCTTTGTTGGTACTTTCTCTCTATTTATGTGTTATTAATATTGCATCCTTTAATTCATCAAATGCTATTTCAGGCTTAGTGCCTTGGGACATGCCCATATCCTACAGTTTTGGTAGCTATGTGTGGGTATCTTCTTTTATTTTCACATTTGCAGATGCAATTTAATGTGTGAACAGGAACTGGATGAGGACGGGAAGGAGTGGGAGTGATGAGATCTAGGATACAAAGCAAAAGATAGGTCTCATGGTTTTGGAATCTGTTTCTGCTTTTGTTATTGACTCATCAGGTGAGAATGCACAAAACGTATGACTATTCTTTTGTAGAGCCAGTGGATTTTCATCTCCTGAGAAGTAGGTATCATATTTTGTACAACTGGTCTGCGGTAAGAAGGAATAAGATTGAACATATTGCAGCTTCGTAATGCGATCAATATATGGAGGGCTTAGCGTTTAGAAAGTATCTGAGCTTCTTAGCTAGAAGATGTTCTATATACCATGTACGTTCAAATTCCTACTTGCTTGAAAAAAGTGTTAAAAATGCTAAAATGGAAATAGCAAATAAAGGTATTGTCAGTGCCAGAATTCCCAGAAACCAAGCACTGCGAACCTGGCTGTTTAGTGTCAAACAGAAAAAGTTCATTTAATGAAGCAGTTAGAAAGCCTTGTCTCACCCCATTTGCTATGGACATCTTCTGCCTTAATTAGTTTATCTTTGGGATGGGTCTTCCTGCTTTGTACAAGATTGACTGGCAGCCTGTAAACCTCTGAAATATGTATGTGTGTGGGGAGGGGGGTCTTCCACACCTCAGCCTGTTCCCTGGCATCTGTAAGGCCAGCAGGGTCAAGGCAGGACTCAGTGACAGCTCAAAGATACAGAACGCATGAGGTCCCTCCCCTCCCAAGCTTTACGGCACTGAAATCAGCATTTGGTATGTAGTGAGGGATGTAGTCCCTGCACTAAAAAGTTCATAATTTGAAAAATGCAAGGGTAACTAATGCACTCAGCGCTCTTATGAGTCAGCACGCAGCACTCTTACTAAACTCAGCCAGTTCTCTCGACTTGCTCGGCTCCTTCCCGTATGTGTTAGGCGCAGGGACTCCTGTTTGGGTGTAGATCAGGACTCTGTTGACACCGGTGTAACAGATCCAGCAACGCCAGAAGGAGACGCTGCCGGGTCGGGTGCTGGAATTATTCCTTAGAGAGGCACAGGAGTATCTGCCCACCGGGAGGCCTCTCCAGGGTATCTAATAGGAGTTGTTAGCACATTGTCATTCTCCGTGCTCCCTCACTTCCCATGCTGGGCTCTGTGGGGGTTGAAGGGTAAATCGGGCTGTCAGTGTGCAATCACCCACCTCCAGGTTTAACAGAAGGATTCAGACAGACACATGAATTTCCATTTCACCTAGCTAAATGTGGTCCAGATAGCGATGCTATATTGGAGGTAACAGCACAGAATGGTCACTGCAAGTGGGAGTAAAGACAAAAGACACAAAACTGGTGAGTCCAGGATGGATGAAAAAGCATCAGCAAGAATGAGTCAAGGAAGGGAGTGGACTGAGCATGGCATCTTGATTTCACTTTGGCCTAACTAAAAAATCTTTTTCCAAATTGCTGGGTAATGTACTGTTCTGTTTTGCTTTTTGTATGTATTGACCTTCATGGATGATGTACATCATCACCGTTCTCCTGTATCTCTTGTTTGGGATCCATAGACTTGCGAAGGTTTGAAGCTCGACATTTGGGTAGTTACTTTCAAC